TATAATGTGCTCTCATGGGCCTACATACTGTAACCACATGAGCACAAGCCTGTTTGTGTTGTCTTCAAAACAGCACAAAACCAAAGCGATGTGATGTTGACAAGAGGGAAGCAGTAGCCCCCTTTTGTCTTCCAGTGCAGAGAACTGTAGAGCTACAAAGACAACCTAGAAACATAACAAAAGAGACACTTGTAACATTTATTTATGGTGTTTCTTTGTCTTTTTTACCCATCAAAGTGTGCAGACAACCAGTGTGATTATAGTGTGTTTGTGTGTGTCAATTTCAGACGGGGGGCACAATGAGTGAAGAGCCACCGGTCACCCCCAGCTGGCTGACCCCTGACCCCACATCATGGGCCAGTGGAGGCGGGGGGCCGATGGACAACAGCACCAGCCTGGGGACGTTTCCACTGGATGACTCCCTCCCGCCCAGCCAGCTGCCGCTGCTGGTCAACCCCTGGGACATTGTGCTGTGCTCATCGGGGACTCTGATAGCCTGTGAGAACGCCCTGGTGGTGCTGGTGATCTGGCAGAACCCGGCGCTCAGAGCCCCCATGTTCCTGCTGATCGGCAGCCTGGCGCTGGCCGACCTCCTGGCCGGCCTGGGCCTCGTGCTTCACTTCACCTGTGCCTACTTGCTTCGCTCTGACTCGGCCCAGTTGCTGACGGTGGGCTTGGTGGTGGCCTCCTTCTCCGCATCTGTCTTCAGCTTGCTGGCCATCACCATTGACCGCTACCTGTCGCTGTACTATGCTCTCACCTACAACTCAGAGCGGACAGCGGCCTTCACCTACACCATGCTCGTGCTGCTGTGGGGCCTGTCCCTGTGTCTCGGCCTGCTGCCGGTCACGGGGGTCAACTGCCTGGCAGAGGAGGCTACGTGCAGCGTGGTGCGGCCACTGACAAAGAATAACATTGCCGTGCTGTCTGTCTCCTTCCTGCTGCTCTTCGGCCTCATGCTGCAACTCTACGTCCAGATCTGCAAGATCGTGATGCGCCATGCTCACCAGATTGCCCTCCAGCACCACTTCCTGGCTGCCACACCCCACTACGTCACAACGCGGAAGGGCGTGTCGACGTTGGCCATTATCCTGGGTACCTTCGCTGCCTGCTGGATGCCGTTCACCGTCTACTCTCTCATAGCCGACTACACCTACCCTCCTCTCTACACTTATGCCACGCTGGTGCCTGCCACCTACAACTCGGTCATCAACCCGGTCATCTACGCCTTCAGGAACCAGGAGATCCAGAAGGCCCTGTGGCTGGTGTGCTGCGGCTGTGTGCCCGCCAGCGTGGCCCAGCGTGCACGGACCCCTAGTGACGTCTGACCGAGCAGACCCAGGTGGGAAGAGAGAGGCGACCTGGGTCAGCTGTGCTCCTCACTGGATCTGTCCGGTGTGAAAGAGAGCATCAGCAGGGAAGGTCAGGGGAAGTGGCGGAGGGCTGTGGCTTCAGTTATGGCTGGAGTTGTCACTGGCAGAGGCAGTTTGGTTAGTTACCCACAGCCCACATGGATGGATGGCGTTTTTTCTTTGTTACATTCACCACAGGGCACTGTCTTCCCCACTGAAGGCCACAATGCGGGCTTGCATCCCGCCCCCTCCCGTTCCACCCCCGCCACGCCCTTCCTCATTTCTGCAGAGAGAGCTGAGTGCATCACATGTGACAGGCAGCAGCTGTATATAGAATGTGCATACACTTATCAGCACTGGAGCTTTGGTCGACACGTGCTTGTTTTCCTTCAAGTAGGGAGGAATTATTTGTTTGTGTGCCTGGGTGGGTGCGTGCGTGCGTAAAAATACGCGGCGCATTAGTGTGTGCGCTGAGGAGAGGAGAGAAGAGGAGAAGGAGGGAGCGGCTGAATACGCAGGCATTTCCACAGTAAAGCCCGTCTGGAGCAGCATCCCGGCGCTCTGCTGCTGCACTCTGAACGTGCGTCGAAAGCTAAACAGCCGCGGAGAGCTAAAAATAGAGCCGGTGCTCTCTGATCCGCGCTCTGCGCCCTTAACAGACGCCCAGAAAGAAATCAAGCCGCTCCTTCTTCTCCTCGCCTCTCCCATTTTCTTTTCTCTCTCTTTTTTTATTTATTTAAATTTTTTTTTACAATCTAGGTTGTGCGTGAATGTGTTTGAGCTTAGCTCAAGAAAAGCCCCATGGAGAGCGCACCATTAACCCCTCCTCCATTTTTTATTAGTATGGAGGCACCAAACCGAATATAGGCCTATCAGATTATGTAACCTTACTGTAGCTATATCCCTCCTCTTTCACTTTTTGAAAGGAGATTGCTTTTGACTATTTGAATGTGGAGAATGCTGTAAGATTTAGTTTTTACTACAAACTTTTTGAAAACAGAAACCTCAAATTGTAATTATCTTAATAACACTGTATAAAATCTAATTGGACATGATCAAACGCCTAGACTTTAGTCCAAATAGCAAAATAATAGAAGTCATTTGTGTCTGGAAATTATGTGAGCATTTTTGGCTCCTAAAAAAAGCCCCACACCAACCCCATAATGTCAGATCTGCATGCTGGACTCCACTCTAATTTGCATGCAACAAGCACAGATCTCGTTTTTTCTCCCAGAGTTCAGTGTGTTAGGTCACCTAGGCCACTGCGGTAGATGTGCCACAGTTTCCTAATGTCATTGTGACCCTAATAGTTTTTTGTACAATGTGCCACCGTGTACCTCACATGTATTGCATTTTAAGAGCTACAATCATCACTCGAAGGTCACTATAGTGGCACCCTTTTTGAAAAATGTGGGATTTTTTGTAGTATTTTGCTGTATAGTGAAGATAAGTTCCGAGGCACTCTTATAGCTTCGCTTCGATTGTGCTCAAGTCACATCAGCTGCTCTGAGTTAGTTGTTGATAATCTTTTGGTCTCCAAAAACATGTACGCTGATTCTTTACTCCTTCAGATCATGTCAGCAATAACTAGCCGATGAATGGTAGTTATTTTTTAGATGTGAAGCAATACTCAGACAGCAATAACATCCACGTCCCACCGTGACTTCTTCCTGAAGAGTGAAGTACCACAATGGCCACTCGGGTGGGGACGTGTTGTAGAGAACAGGCTCAGTAAGCGACAAGTGATGCTTCAGTGATACATCTTCAAATAGGTGGTACGATAATCACTCCTGGGCTGGAGAAAAAAAAAAAAAAAAGTGGACGAGATCAAATGACTCATTCATTACGGTGACACCACTGCCTCATCCCTCCTCAGTGTTTTTTTTCCAAACCCCCAAATCAAGCTTTCTGATCATTTGTCACACCAGGATGAAATTGTGAACTGTTTTCTGTTGCCTCTGCCTTTTTTGTGAGCATACGAACTGTCCTGAGTGTCGTAACCTCAAATATCAGTGCGTGATTTGGGACTGTGTTTTCGTGCATCTTGTATGAGTTGCATGGCCTCTGGGTGTGTGCATGTGTGTGTCCGTGTGCGTGTTTGTGATCCAGCAGCTCAGCAGACCATAATCTGTCTCCTTGCGTTGTCAGGGGAGGGGTTAATAATACAGGTGGGAGGAATATCGCGCCCTGTTGACCCCTGACCTTAGAGGAATAATGCTGCCAGTCTTCCTGTCGATTCTGAGAAGTGGCCTCGTTCCGTGTTTGTAGAGCTTCTTGGAAGGAGGTAGGACTAGGAGGTGGGCGCTCCAGCACTTAAAGCCAAAGTGAAAGGAACTCTGAATGAACTTAGATCCTAGTCCTGCTGTGTGTTTTCTGTCTCCTCTATCACTAATATTATACTCTACTTAAAAATCAATCTAGTCTGGTTGAGGCAGGTGTCCGTTAAGTGACCTCTGAATGATCCTATGAGCTAAAAGCAGCTACTTCCAAATGCAGCGATACTGCTTGTTTTTTCTCCTTCCTTGCTGTCTCCCCTCTAAGTGAGCCCAATAGAGACATTTGGACAGCTTTGAGTCGCCATGTTTCTGGCTTCACGGCATGTTCAAAACATGAAAAGAATGGGAGATCAGTAAGGAAGGTTAAAGAACAGCATTTCTAAACATTGGAACGTAGCCTGTGTATGTGAACTTGTGCACAGTGTCAGACTGAACCCTGTAGTTATTCGATGAGCACGAACAGGTCAGACTGGCACATCACAAACCATCACAAACTCTTGTTACTTTACCTTTGGAGAAAAGTCTATTTTGTTATATTCATTGAAAAGTTCTATTTTTTTCCACTTTAGTCTGGCCTGAATTCTTTCAGATTCTGATGTTGTACGATATAACCGCGCTGTAAAGCCTTTTTCTGAATGTAGTATTTATCAAATTGTTTAACTGAAATCCCCTCCTCTCGACTTTGTTCGTTTCTGTAAATAAGGCATGCTGAAGAGGAGGGACTTTATACCACCGTGCATGGTGCTACCAAAGCCAGTCAAACTAGAGGATGAGTTGGGTCGCACCACTTTTTGAATGACATTTCTCCACCTTGGCTGTTAATGTAGACATTGTTCTGTTAGACTTCACTTTCCTCGCTTCAATATGCACCAGTTTGTAAAGCCTGGTTATTGGACTATCGAGAAGATTTGGCTAAGCAGATGGGGGATGTTTGAGGAAGAAAAAAAAAATGGTACTCTCCTTTCTCTGATTGGTGAATGTGAATCTCTTGTGCAGCCAACAGTATTGTTGAGGTTTTTGTTGTTGAGCAGGTGTGAACAAGGGCTTTGTATCCACGAAAAAGGTAAAAGACTGTGATGTTGGATGTAATACTTATATGTTGACACACCTGTTAATCTACTGAATGGTTTCGCAGTGTAACGGTACACAAGGCTTGTGTGCAAAGTAAATGGGGTTTTTGGGGAAATGTTGCCAGCAACAGGCTGTTAGTTCAGCAAGAGGAGGAGGGTTCTGATGGTTACTAATAGAGCTAAATATCAAAACACTCAAGGGCCTGTGAATGTGTGTGTGTTTTGAGGTAAGGGTTGGAAAATGAGAGGGTGGAGGGGGGGCGACGCCACAGTAACAGCATCATGTGTAGACGTATGCATAGTTTTCAGTGTGAAATGCACTTTATTTTTTGGATGAAAATGGCACAACAAATTAAGTATCTGCAAAATGAAACGTATAAATGATAATCAACATGCACTAACTTAACTGAGATATTGTAAAAACATTTGTGTGACCGTGGTGTCTATTTTTCCAAGGTGTTAGTCGTACTTTTTATTGCTTTGGTTAGTTCACTCAATTGAGAGATCTTGTTAATTTTGTATTAAAAACAAACATGTGCTGTGCATAAAACTCCTGCCTTGACTAATTTGTTCATCCTCGTCCTGGATCACTGCACCCCCTCCCCAACCCCCCCTTTTTCGCACTCTTCTGTTTCCCTGGCAACTCCCTTCTTAGCTGTACTGTTACCATGGAAACTGAAGTCTTAGGGCCAGGTATGTGTCGTCTCTATGACGACAGTGGAACAGTAAAGAGACATGGCAGCCCGGCCATGATTCTTCATTCATCATTTTATTTTGTCTCTGGTTCAAATGTTACAGAGTTCAAACTAGCATATACATGACCCCTCCCCCGTCCCCCCGTCCCCTCCCACACAGCAGTGAGCGATTGCAGTTGGCTCAAACAGTTAACATACTTTTGATCAGTAAGACTTTTTACATATTGCGCTCTCGTCCAGAACCACAGCATTTCAGATGCTTCTCACAGTCATTCGTTTAGCAGCCTGAGGCTCTCTGACCACAGCTGCCACTGAACTCCTTCATTTCTTCCAGTTATTGTCGTCTACACGTTAAAAATTTGCCTCACGATCTATGGCATACGCAAGTGTTTCAGTAAAAACATTTAAAAAAAGACAAGTACATTGGTTAGCTCAAGAGGAAAGTTTTCTAATAATTCTAACACTCTCAAGCTTTGACTATACATGAAATAAGCACCTTCACAGGGTGTCTATAGTGTTACAACAGGTAGAGAAACATCCACTGGGGTGTATTCACAATGCTTTGAAATATATTCATCAAACTCAGTGTTAATGTTTCACAGAGTGGTCAGCATTATGGTATATTACTAGTCTCTTTACAGTGTTTATGCATACTGAATACACCCCCAGATTTCCAGTCTTGGACCATTCAGCTTATATCAACCTACAGCATGTGATTGTGTGTAGGTGTAGTGTGTTTGTGTATGTGTTTTCAGCAACAGCAGGTCTGTGACAACTTGTGAAAGTGGCACAGTGGGCATTCTTTCAGGTGAAGGTGAGATTGACTGACTGCGTATCTTATTGTGCACATATCTTCAGTGGTTGTCCTATTTTCCTTTGTGTTATGTGTTAATCCGACCAATCGTTCTCTTCCAACTCGGAGTCGTCCTCTGAGTCGGAGTATTCAACAGCGATGCGTCGCGACAGGATGGTGGCCACGTCGTTTCCAACCGGTTCCCTCTTAGCCTGCTGCTCCTGCTGCTCCTGCACCTTCTTTAGCTGGATGCCTGCAAGATAATGTGGAATGTGACGTTGTGTTTTAACCATATACTTATTAGATTCATTACAGTCATAGGACACCTAGTAAAAAGAAAAATTAAATCACTATAATGTAATCTCCTTGATCAACATTCAAAAAATGGCAAAGCTGCATTTTAAAACACCCTACTTTGAAGCATTTTTGTTTAAATATCAAGCATGCAAACTGTCAATTTGTTCTTAATACCCTCAAACGAGAAAATCAGAAAAGAGTAATTGATATAAGTAAAGTGAGTAAAGCTGTCTGCGACTTATAATTCCACTCGAAATAACCTACATTTAATTAGAATTGGTCTGATCACGAGGAATCACGAATAAAACATAAAATTCCATTACAGCCAAATTATCCAAACCACCTTTTCAGGAAGTTGAAATAAAGTTAAATGTTATATCTTTTAGCCCAAATTCCATTAAAAAACCTCCAGAAGTACTCTTTGACCTACCAAAGTTGTGCATACATTAAGTTTTATAATTCAGTGGTAGCTATTTCTTACACATATGTACTGATTGTAGTGTTTTTGCAATGATTTACAGTTAATTTGTTTGAGATTTATCCAATATTCTAAAATATATTTAGAGCTGTGACTGAAAATCTTTTTCTTTTTTTTTTTTTTAACACACTATGTGTTAGTGTTGCTGCATTTTATCAAAGAGTGTTTCAGATACATCTTCTGTGAAAAGGTGAAGTAAATGTTGAAAGGACAAATGATTGTGGACACATACATAGAAACACTACAGGACTCACCCATACGTATAGCAGCCAGCAGATCGCTGCGGGCATCATTGACCACTGTGGTCTCAGCAGGTGCAGCAGAGGACATCTTGTGGGTTGTGGAGTGGGAGGCACCAGCTGGAAGTGGAGGAGGTGGAGGACCAGGAGGAGGTGGAGCTGCCTGGGCTCCAGATACAGGTGGTGGAGGCGGAGCGTAGCCGCCAGCGCCAACCATTGGTCCAGGGGACATCGGACCTCCGGGGGGTGAGGCAAAGGCCGTCTGGGCAGAAGGGATGAGGGGGGCGGGAGGAGGGGGAGGAGGCCCAGTGTTGGCATAGCCATCCATACTGCGAGAGGGACAGAATGAGAGAGAATCAGTAGAGTTAACAAAATTCATAGTAGTCAGTCAAGTTTACTGCTATGAAGAGCAGGAATTAAGGCTTGAGACTGAAGCATGAAGACAGTGACCCACCAGGTGGCAGCATCAGCTCAAACTAAGAGCCTGTGTTGGCTCGTAGTCCTTGATGTTACTTAAACTGCATTATAGTAAAATAACACTGTAAAGTAACCTGACGTCAAAGCTTTACAAAATATCTCAGCTTTTATCAACTTGATTTGTTTCTTGAACTGCCCTGGGATTCATTATTGTTTGTCATTTGTTTAGTCATTTTTAAGTGTTTCACCTTCACCAAGGAAATTTGTTTTAATGTAACTCCGGGAACAATGGCCTTGATGTTTTTGATGCACTCATGTTTGTTCAACAAAAGCTGCTGTGAATTAGAGTAAATTAGACCAAAACAAATGGATTTTTACAAATTTTTGAACTGAAAATGTAGAACAAAAGTAAAATGGGCAATCCTAATAAATTAGAAAATCCAGAGAAATGGCCCAAGGAGTATTTTAAAATTGCAACAAATGGAGGAAATTAAGCTCTTTAACAAAATATACAGGACAAAATAAACTGTGGGCACAATACACAGAACAAATTACTGGATTTCAATTACTGTCTATGTATTGTGTCTGACAAATGTTTAAATATGTATATGCAGTATTTTTAATGATGCCTATCATGTTTTGTTGCTTGTCACCAGGAGAAATCAGAAAAAAAAAAATTAACATTTGCTTGTCATTTTTTACCCGTAGTCCACTGGTGGGAGGGACATGGAGCCCCCGTTCATAGCCTCAGCAGGTGGAGGAGGCAGGGGCACTTGGTGGTGGTGGGAGCGGCCCAGAGTCCCACTCTGATAGGCCATCATAGTCCTGCCTCTGTTGTCATGTTCACTTCCTCCTCGAGCAGCGTGTCCAGCAGCCATCTGGGCAGCCAGGACGCTGGGCGGAGGGCCGGAGTATGTGTGGGCGTGGCCAGCATGGTTCATGCTGTTGGGGTAGTGATGCGGATCCGGGCCGTGACCCCTGAAAGAGAAAATAAATAAGAATTAAAGCCACAAGCGGCATTGGTCGGGTCCTCGCTTCTCGCGGGAGTGCGACTGAGACAGTCGGTGTACGTCCCAACCTGCTACACATGCCCACCGAATCTTGTAGGTGTAGCTGAAACGGCCTTCTGACAGCACCCCGTTGAATGCCAAAAACATTCAAAAAATGGGCAAAATGGCCATTGATGCAAATTGCTCGGCCCACCATTTCCAAACCGACAGAGTTTTGTGGAGTATTTTGATAACTTTTATTCACCACGTCGTGTAGTTTGGCGCGTCTCGAGTTGTTACATGTGTGTGCCGAATTTCGTGGCTGTACGTGAAAGTGTGTTCGGGGGCCCATTTTTTGTAATTTTGTAGGGGGCGCTGTTGAGCCATTTTGCTATTGAGGTGAGTATTTCCCCCTAATTATAAAATTTTTCGCCGGTTCTGATGTGTTTGGCGAGTTTGGTGAGAGTGTGATTACGTTGTGTACCTCAAAAACGCGTTTCATTGTCATGAAGAAATAATAATAAACTCTAGCAGGGTCTTCGCATCCTCTTTGGGTGCTCGGACACTAAAAATGGGTATATACTTCAGGTTTTAACTGCTGGAGCATTAAATATGAGAGTGAACACAGCAGGATTTGACTGTAGCATTAGCCATCTTAGTAGCAAAAACATAAATAAATTGAAATACCTGAACAATAGATTTGTATACAGTTCTTAGTGGCAGTGTAGTTCGGTAAGAAATATCTCTAAGTTCAGATATATTCCATCATTTGAATGTGCTGAAAATCTATTTCAAACCTTTGCGCCTTGACACCTTAATTAATGTAATCAATTACACTACTCACAATAAGTTAGGGATATTGTGAGAGACTCAGTGGATTTCATACATACAGTCTTTGTTTCACTTCAGAGATTTCTGGGACAGGGAGGCTATTGTATTGGGGTGATAGACACACCTCATTTTGTGTTTTCCATGTAATGGTCTCACTGTGTACAGTGTGCCTTACATATTGGGGCCAATACCAAAAAACTAAAAGACAACCCTTTTCAATGTGGCACCAATTTCAACAATCTGTGGGTATAAAAAGCTGGTATTGTCAGTAAGTCATTTCAAGTTCATCTTTCAAAAAGCCATGAACACACGACGTCACTTAACGGACGAGCAGCGCCACCTGGCCATAGCACGCATTCGAGTCGGTGGCAGGCAGTCTGATGTTGCTCGTGAACTTGGTGTGTCTCAAAGTGTCATCAGCAGACTTGCATCAAGACACAGAACTACTGGTACAGTTCGTGACAGACCCAGGAGTGGGGCCCCAAGAGTGACCGACCGCACGATGACCAGTACCTCAGGACCTGTGCACACAGACATCGCTATGCAAGTGCCACAGAGCTGCAGGCCCGTTTACGAGATGTGAGGGGTACTAGGGTTTCCAGACAAACCATTCGCAAC